AATTTGAGGAAAAAGATACAATTCTTTTTTTATATTCATCAATTCTTTTGTTCATATACATCGCTAGAGTCTTTGGATATTATTAACTTTTTTTTTGTTCGTGTGCAGATTCTTTGTGGTCGATCATGTTGGTGATGAGTTACGACTACTCTCAATGCTAGATGCTTTGGTAACAAGTTAATTTCTATATAATATGGATTTTCCACTTACAGATTTGGAATGTCAGATTTTGTGAGTTGAAAAACTATTTATGTTTCAAAGTGTATATCTAAGCTATACAAAAGAAGTATATTTGACATCTTTTTCTCTTTTTATATTTGAGACTGTAGCCATTAAGAGTATAAAATATCTGCAAAAGATGAAGACCAACATAGAGACACCAATTTGTATCAAAAACAGGCAATTACTCATTTGACTAACTCTGGTTGTGTTATACGTACGTTTATTATTCTTTCAATTTGCTAACGACCTTATATGTGACTATTTAGTAGAGCTGCTGATTTGTATAGGCAGATTCTTCAGCTAAAGCCATTGCTGGAGTACTTTATTAAAATTTCTGACTCAAAAAATTTATATGTTTTGTTTTATATACGTTTATTATATTTTCACTTTCACTTTGGCTAATGATCTTATGTTTGACTATTTAGTAGAGCTTAGCCTAAGGTGCATTAAGTGAATGCACCATTTTACTAAAAGCAATAGACACAGTGAACAAGGTATCATCCATTTGTTTTCATATATTATACTTGATTTGACAAAATTCATGTTTGTTTTTTTATTGTATTCAAACCAATAATAATCATATTGAGCTTACATTTCTTGGGTGTGAAAGTAGCTTGATTACATAAAAACTCCAAAATCAGAAACGTATAAGAACGGTTGAAGAAGACGAGAAGGTTCTCAAAAGAGATTTTTATTTTATTTTATAATGCAACATTTTCTGTTTTTTCATAGATTTTTCAATTAAAAGTCCAAAGGGTAAAATACAGAAAAGACAAGTGAAGCCTAATTAAGGCCCAATACATAATTACACGTCTTTAACATAAATTAGTTTTCTTTTTTCGAGTTTTTTTTTTTTTTTTTTCTGTTTTCTTAGGTAAAGCATGAGACATTATTTGACTATTTTTTATACAATTAGAGTAATTTAATTTGTCTTTCGAAATTTTGTCTTTTTGGTTTATTTTAACACATTTATAACACACATATATAACACTATATAGCATTATCAAACAATTATATAATAAAGAAAACTTTATTATATTCAGATTAAATAATAAATTATATAAGTAATGAGTATAAATTTTATCCCACTAATAAAACTTACTTAGTTTTAAACTTTGGGATAGTAATTTAATAACATGTATCTTATTCGTATAAATATTTAGTCATATAAAAGCCAAATAATACTTTAGGAAATGTTTTAATAAAATTATTATTAAAAAGAAAATTACAAAATGATGTTTAATTTCACGGGATGAGATTATATGGTGGGAGGGATTTGGATAAATATTAATACGGGATGGTATACTACGGATAAAATCCTAGAATTAATAATCAAACTATAATTATACAATCTTACACACTAAACAAAACAAATATAACTTAAAATTTTGATTTTTAGTTGTAAAATATCGTTATGCGGTATACTATATATCTATAGATTATCTTAAAAATTTTAATTTTTTTATTTAGTAAAAATATAGGCCCGCGGTGTACCGCGGGTTAACATCTAGTGTCTTGCATTTGCATAACAGATTGGCCTGACACAGCAAATAAGAACTTCGAAAATAAAATTAGAAAAGAAAAGACAATTTGCATGTAAGCCAATCGAGTCATACATGAAATGAAATGTTGGAGTAAGCTAAAAGATAGCTTGAACCGGAAGTAATCTCAAAAATTAAACTGAGTTATGGTTTAGAGAGATAAGATCAAACATAATTAGGAGTTATCTAATATATATGTAATTCTAGTGAGATTAGAATTTGTATGATCTTATAAATAGAGAGGTTGAGTCATGACCTAAAATATGAGAGTTGTGGTTTAAGAGAGCTTAAGTTTTGAGTTAGTTTCTTAAGTAATAAAGTGAGTTTTACTTTGTTAAATCGTGAGTCTTAAACATACGAATCTCAATCTATATGAAACAACTCAACGACGATTTGTCTTCCACTATTAATGCTAGCTGCAAATCTTTAGTTTGGGGTTAATAAAACTAGTTAAACGAATAAAAAGAATGGGAAAATTCCCAAAAAAAACCTCAAGTATTTTTTATTTGGAAGTTTAATGCCCAATTCTTTTTGGTTGGAACAAAAATACATTATTTAAATATTGTTGGTCGAAAAATACATCATGTTAAAATTATTGGTAATTTCAAACCTACGACTTAACAGCCGTTACCGGATGCTACGGTATCATTTAACGGTGTTAAATTTTAACCTCTCGTATTTTAATAGATATGTATAATATGTTTGGTAAGTATTATTAGGATATTACCGTAGTCTGGTGGTGAAAGGTTGGTTTTGCAACCCACAGAACCCAGGTTCGATCCTCCGATTTTTTTTTTTATATTCTCTTTCTCACCTCCTTCACAAAACCCCTACGGCGAACATCGCCGCCGATGTAAGCTTGAGATTCGAACCTGTACCGTTGCCGTAGGGCTTGAGATTCGTTTATGACTGAACTTTTTCTTTTTGTTGTTGAAGGACATGATTTCATCATCATCTTATCTTCTTCTCCAACAAACCTTTGTTTTTTAAAAATGGTTTTAAAGGAAACGTGAACCAGTGGTGAAATCTATGGGAATTAAATCCAATTTGAACTTGTTAATCCAGAGAATATTGTAATTAATGGGTGAATTAGGTAGCTAATTCTTCAATTGAATCTTCAAATTGGTGAAACGAATTACATAACATCACGATTTAGCATAAATGAGCGATATAGCGTCTTGAAGAAGTGAGGAGGAAGAAGAAGAAGAAGAAGGAGATAAGGCGGGAGGAAGTAAGTCATGCGACAGCGATGAGATTTGCGTAAATAGCAGAAGGAGAAGGAGCGATATAGCAGTCATGGTACAGCAAAAGAGAAAAGGGAAAAAAAAAACGAAAAGATGTCAATGGGTGAGATTCGAACCCAGATTATATGAGTTACAAAACCAAACCGTCACCACTAGACTACGGTGATATGTAGTTATAGTAATCTAAACATGTTTAATATATCTATTTAAATTCATGAGATTAAACTTTAACACCATCAATGATTCTGTAACGTCCGTTAACGGCTGTTAAGTCGCAAGTGTGAAATTACCAATAATTTTAACATGGTGTATTTTTCGACCAACAATATTTAAATAATGTATTTTTATTCCAACCAAAAAGAATTGGGCATTAAACTTCCAAATAAAAAATACTTGAGGTTTTTTTTGGGAATTTTCCCTAAAAAGAATGCTTGAGATATTTGTTGACACAAAAAAAATGCTAGAGATATTTTGGTTTCGTACTGATTGATTAATGGATTCTGCTTTTTTAACCAACGAAAATAGTTTTTTTTTTTTGTGATAAAAAATCCAAAGAAAAATAATAGTTATGTTTTTTTTCCATAATCAATGAAAAATGTTAGTTTGATTTTCCATACTGAAATTTACCCAGATTGACAGAAATCCGGAGATTAATAACTAGATTAACATTCTAATTTTCTAGTTTATTAGAATAACACAAATTTTATGTAAAATGACCAAAAACCCATTTGAATTTTGTTTAGTCTTGAAAAAAAAAAAACTCAAAACAAAAAAACAAAAAAAAAACACAAAAACATTAACCATAATTTTTTTTTTAATTGTAGACTTAAGCTTCTTTTTTCTCTGTTTCACCCGACAAACACAATCCCTAACTTTTTTCTCTGTTTCACCCGACTCCGACGAAGAGAAGAATCTGACTCCAATTGTCTTCGCCGGTTAGGATAGCCCAAAACCCTAGGAAAATAAGGTAAGTTAGATTATCTCGTCATTTATTATTTTTCAGTTATGGAAATTCAAAATAAAAAAGTCTGTCGTGTTTAAAAAGTCTGTCATGTAGTCCATCATGAAAAGTCTTTCATTAAATATGTATAAAAAACCTGTCATAATATGAATAAAAATTAAAATCTGTCATTGCGTAAAACATATCTGTCATCACTATATGAAGTCATTCCAACAATTTTTTTTTTCATCACTAAATCTGTCGTAATGTGACAGTTTTCTTTGAACTAATTCTAAATCTGTCGTAATGTAAATAAAATCTGTCATCACAGAAATATTTCATTTGCGATTGTATGTTAATCTAGCAATTTTTTTCTTTGTAATGCAAATCTGCTATCACTCGACAGTTTTTTTGTTTAAAAAATAAAAACTGTCATAACATCAAAAAAATCTGTTATCACTACTAAGTCATTCTAGTAATTATTTTTCCAAAAACAAATCTGTCACTTGATGACATATATTTTTATGAAAATTAAAAGTCAGAGGCCACTATGACCATAAATCTGCCACTAATTTTAATAAATCTGTCAAAGTGATGAAAGTCTGTGGTGTTAAATTAAGTCTGTCACAACCTGTTAAATTAAGTGGGTGTTATTGGTTTATTAGTTTGTAAATCCATATAGGATTTGGAAATCTCTATTAATTATGAAATCAAGATATATGGATTTTGAAATAACATGTGTTTACTCATGAATTTGAATCCTTCTATTTTTCTCTTTCAATTCCATACAAATCCATTTAAAACATAATTTGGATTCTCAAATCCAAAAACAAATGACTAAACGAATAACATAGGATTTTAACTAGTATTTATAAATCATAGAACCAATAACACATAATTTTAATTAGGATTTTAAAATCAATTATTGAATAACAAATGATTTTTGTTTGGATTTATAATTCTTTATAAATCCATGAATCAATAACCCCTGATAAATCTATGAGAGATAAAAAATCTATCACAGAAAATCTGTCGTTGAATAAAAAGAAACTAAAAAGACAGAGGATTTTAGGCACGAAGACCAAGAAGACCCAAGCTCAACGAAATGAGCCCTTTCCACCGACGTTCCTCCACCGGCAGCCTCCACTTGTGAGCGAAGTTTGCTTATAAGGTTAGATCTCTCAGGTGGACCTCTTTTCCGGTGACGTGGCGGTTTTTCCGGCGAGTTTACTACCTGAGATGACTACCTTCTCTCTCCCGATGTCGAGCCTCTCTCGTTGCGTACCGATGTCTTCGGGTTCTTTCTCTAGTCTGAGATCTCCTTCAGCACCACCATCGGAGCCTCCGTCCCCACCAACTCCGCCTGAACCACCGGATCCGCCGGATCTTCAGTTCTGCCCCTCATCCGGTGATGCTCTTGTTCAGCTGCTTCTCCTTCAACATCCCACCGGTCTTCAACGAGGTCACATCGGTTCCGAGCGCCCATCTCCGCTGCCCTCGAGAACTACTCCACCTTGCCGGAAGAATGCTCCTCTGTCCATCACCGTACTTGCTCGCCGCCGTCACTTGCTCCTCTCTCCACATTTCTCAAACGTGAACCTAGGGTTTCACTATTTGGGCCAAATTTGGGATAATTTTCTATTGGGCCATGGTTGCTTATTGGGCCAAAAGAGTGGGGTTTTCTTATTGGGCCTTACTTTCCCAAGACTCAGCCCACCTTTTTCCTTTTATCGTGTCTTCTCTTGTCTCGTCTCCCTACTCCGCTGCAAGCCATCTCAATCTCATAATCTCGTCGTCGCCATCAACTTACCTCCTCAGAAGTTTCCCCAGGTATGCTCTTACTCTTCACCCTCTAATTCTTCTCAGATTGGAAGGGTTTGGATGTTGGTAGAGTTTGTGGCTCTTGTTTTGTGGAATTCTGATATAGCTCATTCGTCTTCGATGAGCTTGGATACTTTTGTGTCTACATTTGTGCTCTCTTGTAGCACCTTTATCGTTTTGATGCGATCATTTACCGCAGTATGCAGATTCTGGCTCGATTTAGCTATGTTAAAAGTTGTCTCGTCGCAACTTGGACAAAGTTCTCTGAGTTTAGAAAACCGACCAGGTTTCCTGGTTCATTGGGGCTATCATAGCCCTCATCTCTCCTTTATGGAGTTTATTATCTTTCCAACGACCTCACTTGTATTTAGTGATAGTGTTACAGGAAGCATTGAGTGCAAGACTGTTCTGCTTGAAGTAGAAGCGAGAAATCTACTGGTGTTTGAAAACCGTGCTTTTTCTGAGGAGGACACTGCTTTGAAAGCCATAACTGCGGCAAATGAATGGCAGGAGGCAAACCTTGCAGTCCATGGCCAATCGCGGAACAGAGCACAAGCTGTACCTCTTATTGAGGATATACCAACTCCACTACCTCACTCAGAGGATCCTTCTCTCATTTTACCTCTTATTGAGGCTCCTTCTCTCAATTTACCTCTTATTGAGGCTCCTTTTCACAGAATTCCTCGCGATGAGGTTTTTTCTTGCTACACGGATGCAGCTTGGATCGCATCCTCTGGCTCCTGCGGTATGGGATGGATTTTCAAGACTCAAGATCATCGAGTTATCCATCAGGGCTCGGCAACTCGCCTCCATACACCATCGGCTCTAGCTGCTGAAGCTTTGGCCTTGAGATCAGCGCTGATCGCAGCGTCTAGAATGGAATTCACCTCCATCAAAGTTTTTTCGGACTCGCAAGTCCTCATATCTCTGCTAAATACAGAGACCTCTACGAACGAGCTTCAAGGGATTCTCCATGACATTGCTTTCTTTAGTCGTTCGCTATCATCTATCAAGTTTCCTTTTGTTCCACGCAAGTCTAATATGTTAGCTGATGCATTGGCAAAGGCTGCCTTATCTTCTTTACCTGTTTTAACTACTTCTGCTTTGTAAGAATCGTCTATTTATCTATAAAACCAGTTTGACCAAAAAAAAAAAAAAATCTGTCGTTGATAAATAAGTCTGCCATTTAAAATAAACCTGTCATAACGAATCCAGCAGACTTTTAAAAATCTATAAATTTTTTTCCCACGTTTTTCGGAAAAACTTTAGGGTAAATTTGACTTTTTTTTTTTTTTTTTTTTTTTTTTTTTTCCTAACAAAGAGAGCAAGTGTATTATCGTCATGAAAATAACCAATCTAACCCCCATATTTTTATGAGACATTCTAGTAATTAAAGTTATTATTTGGGTCAATCTAGTAAGTTTCCCTTTTCCATAACCAAAACATTAAATTTTGATACTGTCTATATATCTAAACTAGTGGTGATTTTAAATACTTTCCGTTTCTTAATAAGTCTTTCTGAGAAATGTTTTCAAATGCTTTGCTATATATTTGCCAATTGTTAGCAGTTAATATCCTGATATAATCTACTATTATGAAATAATTTATGACAACCCCTAATAATACGGAGATAACAAAAATCGAAAATAGTATACAACGTAGATTATAGATTATATGAAAATATTATAAAAACACTCAACTATTCGTTACGTGGGTCAATATGAAAATAGTATTGTAATAAGTCCCATTTTATATCATATAGTTTTTTGGTAGACCAGATTTTATCTTATATAATATGAGTTTCTCGAATAGAGAGCATGAATAATTAATTATATATTATCAAAAAATAATTAATTATATCAAAGACAAAAAGAGCTGAATAATTAGATCGAATCAACATCCAAGTCTTTTGTGTTGGAAGTCATCCAAAAGCAAGAAATAATTAAGAAAATTAAGCTAATCATCAATATTATTTTATTGCACAATCATTGTAATTAATAAAATGGTAAATTAAATAAATAAATAAAAAGAAAGTTGCAAAATCAAAATAAGGGCATAAAATCTACGTAATGTATGTATTTGTGTGCGTGGCGTATCTATTGAAATCTGGACACAATCTGATCCAGCGATGCAGTAGTTATACTAAGGTTTTTTTTATAAAAACTAAAATGAAAATTAATTTTAATAGAGCTTATAAAAAAAGAGATCACCAATTCACCATGAAAGAGATCTCTAATTTCTTAGCTCAAAGCAAAATAAGAAAAATCATATCTCTCTCTCCCTCTCTTTCTGTCTAGAGAAGACTTTCTCTCTCTAGTTCTTGCCGGTATACCTTAAAATTACAAGATCGCAAGTGAAAATTAAAGCCGAGCAAAGAAACATGGGAAGTAGTTTCTTTGGTAGACCAAACATGGGAGGATCTTCGCCGTCCTCATCATCTCCGACGTCTTCCTCTTCTTCTCCGGCGACAAGAAGAGGGAAGAAGAATGGGTCCGATAAGCCGAAGCAGCCACAAAGAGGTCTCGGAGTAGCACAATTGGAGAAGATTAGGTTACACGGCGAAATGAGTTGCAATAGCTTCAACAATTATAACCCTTCTTTGTATCCTCAGGTAACATATACAAACACTTCTTCATATAACCGAGAGATTCCGATCCGAATTAAGACACCATAAGTTGGTTAACATATTCCTAAACATATATACATGTGTACGTATAACCTGATCGAGTTCTTAGGTTTTGCTTAATTTTGTCGGGTCATCAGATCTTTTTATACGAATCCGACCAACTTTTTATTCATTGTCCCATGAACTCATCTAGATGTTTAACTACTCAATCATACGTAAAATTGATCCCAATTTCATATATAAACTTGTTTTTCTTCTTCGTTGGATTCAATTAAGCATATTGAAATTAGTCAGCTGAAATTTTATTTACATAGCATATATGTTGTTGTAAAGTTCACGAGGGCACTTTTCACTCATTTCTTAAGCTATATACTTCATAAGATTTAGATTTGTGAAATAAATTTAACTAAACTTCTATCTAATTATATATTTAAATCAATTATTTTCAAGAGTATAGTTTTATAAAACTTCGTATATAAATTTGAGTATAGGAGGATGTCAGGATGCAAGGAGGATATTCATCCATACCATCATCATCACTATCACAATCTTCGTCTCCTTACGGTTTCTATCCAAACATGATGGTATATATAAATTTCACTTTTAATGTTGTTGTATATGTATGCGTTATAGAGAGGATATTTTGTTCTTTTTAAGCAACATATATAGGTTTATGTATATAAAGAATAAAGTACTTGGATTGGATCCCTAATCTTACTTAATCTAATTAAGTACTTTGTATTTCAAACTTCCATCCTAATAGGGGAAACCTTCTACAAGATTTGGTCGATCATGTTTTCATATTTAACGAAACTCATTTCAAATAATCATGAAACAAAACAAAAAAAAATCTAAAGTAAACGAAAAATAGATAAACTATTAATGGGTTTTTTTTTTTGCTCTTCGCAGATGGGAGTACATAGAGATCAATACGAAAGAGCAACCATGAGGTACATATAAAATTACTTATATGTGTAGGTGTAACATGTTATTATATTTTGTTTTGTCTTAAAAATAAGTTCATTTCTTTGGTTCAAACAGTTGGAATCCAAGCTACGGCATCTTAGAGAGCCAACATTCTTTGGAACCAAACATCACAAGACATGTCTTACACGAGGTTCTTACTCTATACCCTCAAACATATATGCATCATGTCACAATTAGTAATATGTTAGTCACTTGATCATCTTTAGTTAAGGGGTTGATGAATTATATTGTCAGTAAACGCGTTCATTCACATGATCATTAGTTACAAAAAAAGAACCAATCAATTTCACTTATCTTGCAACAAGATTTGTTTCATTATGATGTTTTGGCTTATCGTTGTCCATTGTAACCATGGTTCAATATAGTTATGTCATAATGAAATGAGGTTGACCGTTGACACTAACTGTTATAAGTTTTAGATGGATTTGTATATATGTGTTCTAATATTTTATGTTTTTTTTTTAATGTTATGTATTCTAATAACAATAAAATAAAATGAAAATTCTTGAAATAGGATCCAAACTCAACAAGGCGGAGTAAATCTTTGGGATCGGGAAACCAACACTCGGGATCGAGTGAAAATCAAGAGCTGGACTTGGAATTGAGATTGTCACTTTGATCATTACTTTGTAATGGTTTGGTCCTTATGAAATTGAAAAGAAGTCCTATCATTTCAATTTCTTTATATCATCGGGATTGTATGATCGTCTCAGTAGAAAAGATTTAAAGAATGGGACTTATTTGTACATTTTGGGGGAAATTAAAAGATAGATTATATTTATATAATGGCCTCATAGAAATTATGCATCATAGGTAGGCTCCCACACGAATGTTATACCAAAAAATGTAACATCTTGATTGTTTTCGTTGCGTGGTATTTCATATCTCTTAGTCTACCTTTTTCGGTCTGAAAAACTTATAGTCCGAACAGTCTTAACCTAAAAGTCCATTATTTTTTGGGTTCAATATTGTTCAAACTTCGTCTTTTTCAAGGATCGGGTGGGTTAACCTTTGGATTTTGGTCTATATTGACATTCATTCATATGTGTAGATATCACTTCCAGACTGACCAGAAAAAAAAAAACTGCAACGCAGTGTCATAGTAGCCTTTCTTTAAAACATAAATAACCAAATTTGCTTATATCAAACAAATAAAGAAAAACAAAAATGATACATCACATTGCAAATTTCGAAGTTTTATTCTAGAGTAAATGAATGACATTAGTAAAAGAAATAACAATCAAGCAGTAGCTGGAACATCAGCAGGTCCAGAGTGTTTCTTTTTGCAACAACATGTGTTTCCTGGTTTACAATATCCTCCTGCAGGAAACCCTAACCCATGGCAAAGTCCATTGCAATCTGGTTTAACAAAATTTCCACATACTCCAGGACACATCGGATCGTATATTATTACATTCGATCTTGCTTCTGAACCTATGAAATTATTACATTCATCATCAGTTGTTTGATAAAAAAATCTGTTAAAAATCAGCTATAAAAGTTTTATATATGAAAAAAACTTATTTTGTTATTTAAGAGATTATACCTGAAATTAAAAGGATGAGAACAAGAGCAATCATCATGAACGTATTCTTATAAAGATATGCGACCATCTTGTTTGCCATTTTAGTAGTTATAGAAAGTTTTGTGTTATGCTTGCTTCTCTTCTTTGAGTGTGTCGTGTTATAGAAAATTAAACCATGTAAACCTACTCACTTATATATAGAGAGATATGTGTTTGTGCATGTAAGCTCTTATTTCAAATCCTCATATTGATTTTGAACTTCAATTTTCGAAATCAACGGTATTTAATTGTGTAGATCATCTTAAAGAAGAGATTTTGGAAGGAAATGAATATTGTTTCCTTTTTTTTTTGAACAAAGAATATTGTTTCTTTATAAGGGCTGATTCTTTCCTTCAAAAATTTCAGTATTCAAGATTCTGATTTCTTTTACCATCCTTAGTTTCGTCATCTCTTGTAAATCTTTAATTTTGCCAAAGAAGAGTCTCTACATATATAGATTGGGGCCTATTGGATATTTCAGAGCAACTTGTCCTATAAACTTTGTTATAAAGTGTAAAGAACCCATATAAGAGTTCAAATATAGTGCTATCATTTGAACATCATAATTAAGCATAATAAGTGTACATTCGAGCCATAAGTTTTTGAGAAAAATCATTTTTTCATAGAAATTTTCAATCAAAATCACTTTTCAAAAACACAAATAATTAAATCGGTAAAAAAAGAATGTCTAAAAACATAGATATAGTATACCATTCATTATTTAAAAACTCAATCCTTTATCATTCCAGGTTGCAAAACCAGACCAAAAAGCTAACAAACCATGAACCGGTACAGAAACTACATGCGGGATTCCTTGTGATCTAGTATTCTTATTGAAAGTGCCATTTTTAAGATCTCTTCAACGGTTAATAGGAGTGTTCATACGCTCAACGATCTTATTCACAGCATCACGGGACATCACAAGCGTATCGTGTAGCAGAATGCTGTAAACATTTAGCCCCTGCAAATGCGTTACGTAAACAAGGTTCAAGATTTGCTAAGCGATTAGTAAAGAAACCGCAAGGTTTGATATGTGATTATGTAACTTACTATTGATGGAATTATGTTGACATAGTGTAGATTTTGGGTGGCTAGCTTCAGCTTTTCATCAATAGGACCACCTTCTACAACAAGTACTTTCTTTGTGTTCTCCATTTGATTGTAATAATTCACAATGTTCTTTGTTTTATGCGTAGGCAATGCCAAATCGTCGAACACGAGGAGCTGCATAAATTTCCCAATCAGCAGATACAATAAGATCAGTTTAATAAGAAGGCACGGTTACGGAAAATCAAGAGCACATGTTATGATTAAGAAGAGAAAGAAGCTGACTTTTCCTTCTGCGGCTCGAGCTGTCAATGCTATTTTCAGTCCAAGCCGTCGAACCTGCTTATTCATCTTTATCGCATGGCTTCTCGGTTTGGGTCCATGCATTACACAACCACCTCGGAACTAATGATTCAATAAAGTTCAATCAGAGTGCTATATTTGATGGGAAGAAAGAAACCTTAAAATTCAAAAACTGATTTACCTGCGGACCACGCAGTGTACCATGTCTAGCTCGACCTGTACCTTTCTGATTCCATGGCTTTCTACCAGTTCCACTAACCTCACTTAATGTTTTGGTGGAATGAGTTCCCTAAATATCAAAGCACATGTGTCATACTTATTGATTGTTTGCTTAAAAGACTATAAATTAAGGCATTGTGAGATAACTAATTAATTACCTGCTGGCGTTTCGCAAGCTGCCATCGCACGACATTGTGAATGATATCTTTCCTTATTGGAACATCGAAGACATCACCTGCTAAAACCATGAAACCCTTCTCCTCGCTCTGAAAATTTGTCACAGGAATGACCAAGTCTTGATATTGTCCTATGGAAAGTATCAAATAACAGAACCAGTTAACACATCCAGAAGTTTCAAAATGAGAGAAGCAATAAGGAAAACATCACTGTTCAAAGGTTTTATCATGTCTCAAGCACAATCACCAAAAAAAAGCAAGGACATAACAGAGCCCAACACGAGCAAAACACGGGTACTCAAATATGCGTTAAACCTTCATGTAATAAGCTAAATAAGGCCTGGAAAACTCTTACTCCTCTCAAAACACAAAGTAACAACATTATTCTAACACAGCTACTCACTCTCCATTTCACCAACATGATTCCCAAGAAAGGTACAAAATTCTCAGCACACCACATGAAGGGCCAAACAAGTACATACCTATGGTTCGGTCTGGTGTAAGCACGGTCTTTTTGGTAAGTAAATCAGAAGGAAATGTATCATCAGGAGTCAAAATACAAGTGGAGAGCTTTCGGTTGGAAAGTAAAGCCATTCCATACTGCAATTGATAACGAAGATGAAATCAAAATAATGAAATACCCAGGAAAGGAGAGAAAGTAACAGCGTAAACTAAACACCAACCTTGAGATCACTAGTAAGAGAAGATAAACCATTTCCAGATGTATTCGCGGACAAATCTGTTCGAACGAGGGAGGAGACAGAGAAACAATCAGAGATCAAGGTGACACCATATTTCATTAGAAGCTTGGAAAATGAGATAATACTTGGTGAAGAGCAACGTCCTAGAGATCCAAAAGTGCGAAAAATCCTTGCTGAGATTGAAGCAGCCATTATCTCTGAACAACAAAAACCCTAGCTGCTCATCTACAAACACGAAATATCCAATTTCTCACATACATTTCCGAGAATTCTCAATAGATCAGAAGAATACTCACCGGAGTCACAAGCGGCGATGATAGACGGCGGCGACTATTCAAGGAGGCGACGATTTGGTGGTGAAGGTCTTTAGGCTTGTGGAGGTTCAGTGAAGAGGTTTACTCATGTTTTGGATCGGGTCATTACGAGACGGGTCGGGTCTTCATGTGTAAAAGCCCATAAGTCAGGTTTTGCATTTGCCAATAAGATGTCAGTTATTTTCGGTTTGCCCATAATAAGCCCATCAGGTGGTTAAGGCCCATGGGCTATTCTTCATAAAACCACTTCTCCATTGGCTTACCCAATTTGAAAATAAAATGTTTACATAGAAAATTGGTCACTAAATCCAATAATAAGAGTTCGAGGGATAAGAGAAACTACTAAAGCTTTTTGGTCTAAATGATTTTATTGATAGAATGCGTTTGAGTTATAAAAAGTCGACAAGGATCGAATTCCTTTCGAAAACAAAGCTGCCGGGTACAAAGGAGTGGGGCACTCCTCAAACAATTACGTTCATCACCAATGTTGCATGGTCCGTCTCGAAATTCTTGCAATATATCTCACAAGAAAGAATATTCACCACAATCAAAACCACTGCAACGACGGGTTGGTTCATTCATTTATGTAGTAAATTTGTATATTTATTTTCTAGTTGCAATTATTCATTTGAACTGTTTAGTTTCATGTAAAAATGGACTAGCATTTTTCTTTTTTCCTATTTTGATGTGGCTACGCAAAATGATGTGATATTAATTAATGTGAATCGAGCCATTAATGGGAGATATCTATAGCTTCAGTGAGAACTTGCATAAAGCAAGTACGAGAGCTCAAATCTGTAACATGTCACATGTGTACTGTTGTATTCCAAAATACATGGCTTCTTGACCTCATCAAATGTTCTTGCCGCCCAAACGAACAAAAACACTCACATGCATGTGATTGGGTTTGTGTGGTGGGTTGGGAGAAGAAGTTCGAAATACTTTTTGTCACAATGATATTTGAACATAGAAATTTATTGGTAATGTTCCGACATGTTATGGGCTAAAAGCTACTTGTTCCCACTATTTACAAGCATCTTCTATTGCCACCCACCAAAACCAACATTTTTATTGGACAAAACCAACGTTTTTATAACTTTTATATATTTCTTTATTTGCTTTTTTATAGCAATGAGTTAGTACAATTCTATATTTTTTTCAATCTAGGGAACATAGTCAAACCAATAATAATCAAGTGAACATTTCTCCTTTGTACACTACAGTCTAACACATTTTCAAAACAATCATGCAATTTAAAATTCAAGACTTTTTGTAGTATTTTTACTCAAATTCCACAGTTTTTCTTGTTTCAAAAAAATCAAGTTTTCGTCATTAAACCCATAATCTTTTTTTCGTCAAAAACAAGCATTTAATAATACACATTAAGAAATTTGATTTTTTCTATGATTTTTCCCTCCGTTTCACAATAAATATCGTTTAGACATTTGTCACATAAATTTTTAAAAAATAATAAATTTTTTGTTATATCAATTAAAATTAAGTAGACTCTTGGTATTATTCTTCTATAAATTTGAGGTTAAAGTAGATCTTTTATATTAAATTTTATACTAAAAATCTAAAACAACATTTATTTTCAAACAACAAATAATCCTTAAACGACACTTTTAATTTAAACCGGAGGGAATATTTCATTGGAGAGACATAATCGTACAAACACAGATTCAATAACATCTTTCATAAAGACCTTTGCAAAATAAGTGAGTTATCTATTAAATATGGATAAATTCACAATCTTTGCCTTATTTTGGCTATGAATTCCAATAGAATTTAATTGGTTTTTAGTTTTTGGAATTTGGTTGTTGGTTTGTAAATTTGTTTTTGCTATAAATTTTAAATTTAATAGATAAAAATGAAATAGAATCTCGATGGATAAAAAAGACTTTGCACAAAAACCTCAAAATCACGGGTTTAGTTCCTGTTTTTAAAAACTTGTACAAATCACTCAAAAACTAGTTTTCTTAATTTTTAAAAATCTTGAATAGTAAAAAAAAAAATTTTAAAAGAAACAAAAACCAAAAACTAGTAAACATTCAAAGCTTTCATTAATTTGCTTATTCAATCTTTTTCTCATGAATATAAAATTACAAGATCTAATAATTGTTGCAAATAAATAAATAATAACTGTTGGATTTTTACAAAGTAAGAAGTAGAGAATAATAGTTTTTATAGATACTACAAAAAGTCATAAATCTAGAGTCGTACGATTCATTTGCAGTGAAAGAGTTATTCAAAAGAGTTATGAACATCTTTTCTTGTTTGTTGTTAGTGAAAACAAAAATCTTGTGTTTGGAGATCATTTTTAAAGATGAAATGAACATATAACAATAAATAGTAAGTATATTAAATATGTGCATAATTGGTGGATACATTGATGAGGTGGATCTTTAATGATTGATGTGAAGATTTGGATGAAGTTTTTGTTTTTTTTTTTTTTTTTCAGTTTATAAGGTTTTTTATATAATATATATATATATATATATATATATATATATATATATATATATATATATATGATTCTATAAAATAATAGTTGGTGGAAACATCATTGACATTGTAGTTAGTCTATAAGAAATTAGCAAACTGTGGAATATTCCAATTAGCAAATTGAGATTTACCTAATATATTTTAAACGGTGTGAATTGTTGGATACACTCAAAGATGCAAATTATTGGATATATCCAAGAAAGTAAGAGGTTGTCTTTAATACAACAATTCTTCACTCTTAGCTGCAAATCCGACCTTTTGCATCCTTGGATATATCTGAAGATGTAGCTGCAGTCTGATAAAGTTGTTGAATGAGTCAAGAAGTAAAACAAGATTTTGTCTGATGGAGTTTCTGAATGATTCAAGAAGTATGTCAAGATGCGACTGTTTTTGTGTAAGTGTCGGTTTCTAGAAGGTTTGAGAAGATGTGTTTGGAGCGTGTTTAGAGGATGAATCACAAAGGAAAAAGGACTTAAAGAGATTTGGAAGACTTGATGAAAGTGGAGTTTGAAGAGAAAAAGGAAAAGTATAAAAGGAAATTTACTTTTTCTTATGGAAATTGGAAATCTTCTCCTATGGTGATTAGGAAATCGTTTTGGCTATATAAGGAGGAGTTGGGGACGTCTTGGAGAGGCAAGAGAGCTGAGGCATAGAGACAAATCTTTGAGAGCTTTCTAAGGGTGTGTGCAACATAGTTTTGCGGTTTTGTGCAACTTAGTTTTGGCGGGTTTGTGCTTGTGTGATCAAGAGGTTTTGTTTTTTGAAGTCTAGGCTCAAGGGGAGTTTAGCTCAGGGTTAGGTTATCCTGATTAAATCTAGACTCAAGGGGGAGTTTAGTTAAGGGTAGAGATTATCCTTAAGGTTTCACGTTATAGAAGGGAGCGGTAAATCAAGAGGGTTGTGCTTGTTTTACGCGTTTGCGAATTGGTTGTAATTTGCTTTCTTGTTCTAGTGGAATCGAAATCTGGACGTGGTCCCGGGGAGTAGGAAAAACCGAACCTCGTTAACAAATTTCTTGTCTCGTTTACTTTCTACAATTTATCGTACCTCATCCGCACTTACAATTGGTATCAGAGCGGGTTCTCGATAGAGATTTAGTCTTGTTTCGGGTAGATCAGGGTGAGGTTCAGAAGATCGTTCAGAAGATTATTCAGGAGATCGTTCAGAAAGTAAGACAGAGCTGAGAATCGTGTGAGATGGAGTCATACAAGGAAGGTACGTCTATGACAAGATCACCACTTCTTGATTCAGCGAATTATGGATATTGGAAGGTTCGTATGCAAGCTTTTATTAGTAATCTTGATGAAGATTGTTGGAATTCAATTGAACTTGGTTGGGAGGCTCCTAAAGTTACGGATGATGATGGAGTTGTAAGTCTCAAGCCAAGAGATAAGTGGACTGCTGCAGAGAAAAAGCTATCAAGTTGCAATTCTAAGGCTAAGACTGCGATTTACAATGCTATTGATTCAAGCCACTTTAAGTTGATTTCTCAATGTGCATCAGCTCAAAAAGCATGGAAGACATTGGAGAATATGTTTGAGGGTACTACAAGCGTTAAGAGAACGAAATTAGATATGTTAGCTTCGCAATTTGAGAATCTAAGGATGGAAGAAGAGGAAAATGTGGCTGATTTTAGTGCAAAGTTATGTGACATATCTAATGAATCGTTTGCTCTTGGAAAGGTCTACAAGGACAAAAAGCTAGTGAAGAAGTTGAAGAGATCATTACCTGCAAAATTTGAGTCAAAGGTTTCTGCAGTTGAAGAAGCTCATAATCTAGATGAGATGGCTTTTGATGAGTTTGTTGGGATTCTTCAAGCTTTTGAGTTAAGCAAATCATATGAAACTAAAGGAAAGATGCAGAAGGTAGATGAAGTGAAGAAGGAAGTTGACATTGGAGTTGCTCTTAAGGGAACATCAACTGAAGATTCAATGGCTATGTTGTCAAGACAGTTTACTAAATATCTGAAACGAAAGGGAAAAGAGAGGAAGGATAGAATTGATGAAGAGTTGAGAAGTTCATCAAAGAATGTGCAATGTTTTGAATGCAAAGGATATGGACATGTTCGTTCGGAATGCGCCAATCTACAAAAGCATAGGAAGAAGGCCATGAATGTTGTCACTAGTGATTCTGAAACTGATTCAGATGAAGAAGAAGAAGATCTGAAGAATTTTGTGGCTTTGGCAACTTTCAATTCTAGTTCAGATATAGATTCTGCGTCAGTTTCTGAATTAGTGTCTGCATCAGTGTCTGCAACAGGGTCTGCATCAGCATCTGCAACAGGGTCTGCATCAGCATCTGCAACAGGGTCTGCATCAGCATCTGCAACAGGGTCTGCATCAGCATCTGCAACAGGACCTGCAATTAAAAGTGAAAACGATGAATGTGATAGTGATGCAGTGAGTGTTGATGATGAAGAATTTGCTGAGAATTATAGAGCCTTATATGAGCATTGGCTTAAAATGGTTGAAGAGAATTCAGTGTTAACTAAGGAGAAACTCAAGTTAGAGGCTAAAGTTATTGAAGTACAGAAATATGCTGCAGAAAAAGAAGAAGAAGCATCACAAGCCAAAGTACAACTTGAAGAAACTCAAAAGAATTTGAGGATGCTTAATAATGGCACAAAGAAGTTGGATCATATTCTGAATATTGGCAAGATTGATAAGTGTGGCCTTGGATTTGAAGGAAAACTTTCAAAATCGGATCCAGTGTTTGTTTATGGTGGAAAAATCACGTCTGGATCAGGAAGTGTGTTAGAAACAGCAACTGTGGCAGAGACTGCGTCAGGTACAAGAACTACTACGAGAACTGGTACAGAGTCTGATACAGGAAAAGGTAAAGAACTGCAGAGTGCACCTCAACGAATTTTTCGACCTGTTTGCCATCATTGTGGTATTGTTGGGCATATTAGGCCAAGGTGTTTCAGATTATTGAGGGAGAGAAATCGAATGAAGAATGCTTATGATAAGAGATTTCATGGTCCTACATGTTATCATTGTGGAGTTCAAGGGCATATTAAGAGGAATTGTTTCAGATTCATTCGAGAATCCAGTCATGAAGGCTTAAGGCGCAGGAAGATTTGGGTTAGGAAAGATGATTTCTATGGAGGTGGTGTACTAGGCTATCAACCTCGTGTTGCAAAGCGGGGAGAATTTTCTAAGTAGTTTTGACCATGTTGTGACTCATTCAGGGGGAGAATGATGATATGTTCGTGATGTTGTTTTGGAGTTAGAACTGTTGAGTTCACAAACATAGTCAAAAAGGGGGAGATTGAAGATGTAGCTGCAGTCTGATGAAGTTGTTGAATGAGTCAAGAAGTAAAACAAGATTTTGTCTAATGGAGTTTCTGAATGATTCAAGAAGTATGTCAAGATGCGACTGTTTTTGTGTAAGTGTCGGTTTCTAGAAGGTTTGAGAAGATGTGTTTGGAGCGTGTTTAGAGGATGAATCACAAAGGAAAAAGGACTTAAAGAGATTTGGAAGACTTGATGAAAGTGGAGTTTGAAGAGAAAAAGGAAAAGTATAAAAGGAAATTTACTTTTTCTTATGGAAATTGGAAATCTTCTCCTATGGTGATTAGGAAATCGTTTTGGCTATATAAGGAGGAGTTGGGGACGTCTTGGAGAGGCAAGAGAGCTGAGGCATAGAGACAAATCTTTGAGAGCTTTCTAAGGGTGTGTGCAACATAGTTTTGCGGTTTTGTGCAACTTAGTTTTGGCGGGTTTGTGCTTGTGTGATCAAGAGGTTTTGTTTTTTGAAGTCTAGGCTCAAGGGGAGTTTAGCTCAGGGTTAGGTTATCCTGATTAAATCTAGACTCAAGGGGGAGTTTAGTTAAGGGTAGAGATTATCCTTAAGGTTTCACGTTATAGAAGGGAGCGGTAAATCAAGAGGGTTGTGCTTGTTTTACGCGTTTGCGAATTGGTTGTAATTTGCTTTCTTGTTCTAGTGGAATCGAAATCTGGACGTGGTCCCGGGGAGTAGGAAAAACCGAACCTCGTTAACAAATTTCTTGTCTCGTTTACTTTCTACAATTTATCGTACCTCATCCGCACTTACAATATCTAACAATTCACACTCTTTGAGATATATTAGGCATGTCTCGAGGGTGTAACATCCTTCCAAAAATTATCATTGTCAATGATTATGATAGCTTACTCGTATTCATGTCTAAAAGTTTAGACTTTAGCCTTATACTTAGTACATTATCTAAGCTTTTGGCTTGATTAAATGTCGCACCAATAACCATGTGAGCATTAATTATAATCATGCAATCTGAGACTAAAAAAAGTTCTAGAAGTTACAATAGCATAATTAGTAAGTATTAAGCAAAAGTAAACATAAAATTATCTTTAGAAAAAATAATGGTTAAGGTTTAATTATAATGGAATCACTTGTCGATTAGAGCGTTCCAAGAATATAAGAAGTCAGTTGTGCGGCTGATGGTGGAGATATCTTTGATGTTGTGGTCAGTCGGCTAAGTTATAATATTTGTTAAATTTAATTGTAATCGTGAAACCTTTTTTTACTTGTAAATGTTGTGTCACCTTTTTATTTTATTGTTTACAATTACAAGTTTGATGAATTCAATATCTCATGGTTGTTTTATTTAATTATTATGATTACGTTTTACTTTTTTCAGATTTTGTCCAATTTGTTTGATAAACTTTAGGTAAATAATTACTTTTTCTTTTTGGACCTTAGTTAACATTCCAAAAATCATTATAGGTGATATTTTGAGTTGATCAATAGCAAGTTACTTTTTAAAAAAAAAAGATCTAATATTTCAACTTTTACTTTTGTAACTTATAAACTTTCTGTTTAAAACAAACAAATACAAAAAGCTTCATAATTGTTTCGCTTAAAAAAATATCTACACTCAGGCGATAAAATGTGTACTGTCATATCAATTTTAGGTGGTACAAAGCATGGTAGTATAACTCTCTATCGCTATATAGACCGTTATTCTCTACAAACTTCATAAGTCATTTTCTTTCTTTACGGCATATCATAATTGTCTACTCTAAAGATAATACACAAATAATAAAGTGTCTATCATATCTTGTAATATAAAATGTTCTGATCCTAGACCCAAAATCTATTAGTAATTCAAAAAAAATTAAGAAATTAAATTAAAAAAAATTAATTTTGGTATGAGTAATTTAATTTGTATACCAATAAAAGCCTACTATATGATATTTGGTAGCCGTTTGAATAAGTGAAACTACTCTCATGAGAAGAAATTGATTAAATAATATATGTTGTTCAAACGTTATGTGAGTATCCATAATTTAGAACTTTTTATCGTTAATTAATATTGATATCTTTAAATTATGTGGAATTTCTTATCAATCTTGTTAAATTTGGGTTTATTATGGACTTTCAACTCAAAACCAATTGACAATAAATGAAGTGATTCATATCTTTTATATATTGCTTAAATCCCTTCTCATCTTTCCAATGTGGAACATTGTTCACATGCTTCTTCATCAAGATTATGAGCCTTAATCTCATGGCCCAGTAACCTCAATCTAATCTTCAACACCTTCCTCGAGATAATGGCTCTACAGTCGTGAGCCTGATTACGGAAGCATGTGGATCACACTCTGATACCATAATAAAGTTACATAGCAAACAGTAAATTCATAATGTTCAAACATTGTTACACATGCATTTGAAAGATATTTATGATTCCATAAACCATAAATCCATGCTAGTTCTTGATGATTAATAACAAAAGCGGGAGCGTACCTGATAAATATATAGCTTAGAGTCTGAATTTGGGATTATGTCTTCCAAAGCATACCCTAAATAGCTTTAGGTCTCTGTTGATGGGGATGCAGAGAGTTTCTTTATTTCTAGTTAGGGTTGCTTTGGGAAACATAACCCTCTATTTATATGAAGATGATTTGTAATTAGGTTCCTCATCAAATTAGGAATTACTAAGTATATTCACACAATAATTTTTTATAACACTTATACCGCATGTCATTTATTTCATACTAAAATGATCACATAAATTTTGACTAATTCTTACAGCATTTTTTTCTTATCTGTGGATACGTGTATTAGTTGCATTTGTATACATATAAGTGGAGTCCATGTACAGATAAGCTAGTAATCAACTACGTATTATGATTTATGAGTTGTGACGTATAAATATCCAACTAAATACCCCACAAGCGTAGAAAGCGCTATTAGGCATGATAAGCCATTTACGTTTCTTTCATATGTGTGACCCAAAAACTTTCTCTTATCTTCTAACTTTCTTTTGACCAAAATAAAATGCGAAGATGACTTGAGATAAAGCATCTACATTTGGATACACAACTTTTATATTCAAAAGAAACCTTATGGAAAGATATATATACATGTACGTATAAATATACCGACCAAATACAACTATATGTCGGCTTAGTTTTTGGATGGACATCAGACAATTTTTATCGATTGTCGACTTTCCACCAGTACCAATTTTCTCTATATATAACCAACAATATTAAAATAAATAACCAGATTTAATGAATTTATGTATTAAATATATATAATCAAAATTGGTCTATATAATTTAGAATAACATATACTAATGTATCGAGACTATTTGGTCCAATAATACCACCATTAATCACTAAATTGTTTTTTGCATGCAATATTGTTGATGTACGAATTTCAACAAAGTATATTTGTAAGTTCTTTGATAAGGGAAAAACATTCTCATTGCGTTGAAGGTCGGGAGCTAGGCCGTTCTCGCGATAAACATAGAATTTATTTGTTTTATAGCTGCGTCTTGTGAAAGACTGCCTACGTACCCTTAGAAAGGGATCAAGCCATTCGTAATTCATATTAAAATAAGTAGGAGCTAGGCCATATTTGCAGCTAGGTGATCTGTTGACGTGCTGGATAGCTTGGGGACGATTTGGACGAGCCGAGCTGTTAACTGAGAAGCTGGATGAGCTGAGTAGTCAGCAGAGAAGCTGGACGAGCTGAGCTATTTAACTGAGAAGTTGGACGAGCTGAGCAGTCAGCAGAGAAGCTGGACGAGCTGAGCTGTTTAACTGAGAAGCTGGATGAGCTGAGCAGTCAGCTGAGAAGCTGGACGAGCTGAGCTATTTAACTGAGAAGTTGGACGAGCTGGCAGTCGGCAGAGAAGCTGGACGAGCTGAGCTGTTTAATTGAGAAGCTGGATGAGCTGAGCAGTCAGCTGAGAAGCTAGACGAGCCGGGCTGTTTAACTGAGAAGCTGGATGAGCTGAGCAGTCAGCTGAGAAGCTAGACGAGCCGGGAGATGAGATTGACGATCTGGATCGTTAGGCGAGCTGAAGAGCTTGAAGACGAGCTGAAGAGCTTGATGACGAGCTGAGGAGCTTGAAGACGAGCTGAATAGCTTGCAGACGAGCTAAAGAGCTTGATGACGAGCTTAAGAGCTTGATGACGAGCTGAAGAGTTTGATGACGAGCTGAAGAGCATGATGACGAGCTGAAGAGTTTGATGACGAGCTGAAGAGTTTGATGACGAGCTGAAGAGCTTGATGACGAGGTGAAGAGCTTGAAGACGAGCTGAAGAGCTTGCAGACGAGCTGAAGAGCTTGAAGACGAGCTGAAGAGCTTGTAGACGAGCTGAAGAGCTTGAAGACGAGCTGAAGAGCTTGAAGACGTTTTTAGTATGGATTTCTTCTCCTTTTTTCCTTTTTCTTTCTTCAATGAGATGCCTCTCTATTTATAGGAAAACTAAGCTGGTGAGAGAAACATGGACCAACTTTTATGGGCTTTTTTGGGCTTGATGTTTATTAAGTTATTCTTGATTTGGGCCGAGCTAAAATAAGGGGTGCAATCCAGCCCCCAACAGTAGCCCCCCAATTCGTCGAATGAGAATTTTTTTTCGAGTTCGGCGAATTGGTGAGAATTATTAGCTCGTCTTGAATCAAGATTATTTTAATTTAACGAGATGTGAATCATGAAAAAAGATGAAGCGACGAGCTGAAATTGGCAAACTGGAACTGACGAACAAAAACCGATGAACCGAAACTAACGAACTAAAACCGATGAACTGGGACTGAACTGACGAACTAAAAATGACGGACCAAAACAGCTGAACTGACAAATGAGGTGAAACTGAAGCTGACGAGCTGAAACTGAAGCTGTCTAAAAGACGAGCTGAAAATTGAAGCTATCTGAAAGACGAGCTGAAACTGAAGCTGAGCTGAAACTGAAGTTGTCTGAAAGACGAGCTGAAACTGAAACTGACGAGCTGAAACTGAAGCTGACGAGCTGAAAACTGAAGCTATCTGAAAGACAAGCTGAAACTGAAGCTGACGAGCTAAAACTGAAGTTGTCTGAAAGAC